GTCCGACTCTTAGTGACCCTATGAACTGTAGCTAGCCAGGCTCCTCTGTCCATGGGATTCTCCAGATAAGAATTCTGGAGTGGGTTGCCATGCCTTCCTCCAGGGGATCCTCCTGACCCAGGGATTGAACCCGTGTCTCTTATGTCTCTTGCATTTACCACTAGGGCCAGCTGGGAAACAAAGGGATTAGGAGAAGGAATAAATAATTCAATTGCCCCAATATAATATGAGTTCCCAGAAAGAAACCGTATTCTATCCTTTTTTGAATTCTGCTTCATTCTTACCACATAATCTGTATAGTTTCATCATACAACAAATGTTACTGAATGGTCAACTTTTTGAAATTAAAACTTAACATCAATGTATTGAATGGCTGCTATATCCTGAGTTCTGAGCTAGTTGTGTCCATAGATTATTTCATTCAATTTCAGTAAATCCTCAGGTATTGGTTAGGATACAGGCTAAGCTGCTTGAACAAAGATATCTCAAAATACAGGGTTAAGCAAGGCCTGAGTTTCCTTTCCCTCTGAAATGATGGTCCAGATAAATGATTCACTAATTCAGTCCAGGGTTTGTCTCTGCCGTCTTTAACATGTGGCTTCCATCCTTGAAGCCAAGGTGGTAGCTCCAGTCAATGGGCAAAGAAAAAAGTCCAGGGAGGCACATCTACATTTCTAGAAGGCACAACCCAGAAAGCATTTTACTCCCATCTCTTTGGCCAGAATTTAGTCACATGATTAGGACAATATACAAAGCATTCTGGGAAATGTAATTTCTAGTTAGGTGGTTATTGGGGATTTATATTATTTAATAAGAGAAGTATATTGATGGAAAAGGCTCTTAAAACACCTCATATCTGTGGATGAATATCTTAATTCTTACTGAACCAGAAATGAACTATAGAAAGATCCTGATTTCCTGCTCAGAGAGGTTCTGTTTTGTCAGTATCTTCAGAATCAAGTTGGCTCTAAAAGGCTACCTCAATTTATAAAGATTTTTGCATTTAGACAAAAAATACCAATTTCTTGATTTACAATGGAGGAAGATACTTATGCAGTAACTGCAACGTTTGTGTTCCCCACACAGGCTAAGACTTTCCTGGGATGAAAGTACTTAGAAGGCCATATCACAGTGTATACCAGCATACACTGAGCACCTATCTGGGCCAAGGGCTGTGCTAGGCATTTTCCACAAACACCCTGATTTAATCTGTATCTCTAACTTGATGAGATAAGGATCATTCAGACCATTTTACAGGTATGAAAACAGCAGCAGGAAGTTATGGAGCTAAGATGTGGCAAGGCTGGTGTCTGACTGCAGGTCTATTTGATAACAGAGCAAGTACTTTTTCCACTACACTCTGCTGCTTTTCTAGTAAGTGTCAAGACATCCTTGGTGATGTTTTTATAGGCTGTGCCTCTTTGTTCAGGTTTCTGCTACAACGTTTATTGCAGTGGACACATTCTCGTTATTGAAGGCTCTCTTTTCCAGACTCCCTCCATATTCTGGTATTCATGGATCATGTCTTAGTCACTTTACAAAATTGAGGCCAACACAGGGCCTGGTATTTGTCACATGCTTAAACAAATGATTAAATAAGTAAATAAAATGCCTCCTGCACTGACAGTTATTGGAAGGGTCTTTCAGAACTAAGTTTTTGCTTTAATTTAACCTCAGGCCATCCCTATGCCTTCTCAGTGTTTTTCCTTCTGTTTTATCCTCAGAAACTATGGAAAAAAGCTATGTCCCAGTTTGAGTTTACTATAAAAATGAGCTCTCAAGATTCCAGGGGAAGGGAATGGTGCCAACTGTGAGCTGAGGTCATGATTTTGCTAAAGGAGACTTTGCTAATCATCTCAATACTGATGCAAACCGCCAGCAATGATGCTAAACACAGGACTGGGTGGAACTGGCTTCATTCCCTGGCCACAGCCCTGTGAAGGAAGAAGCTGGAAACCAGAAGGGGCCCTTTAAAAGGCCTGGTTCCTTCATCAGTGACACAAGATGATGAGGTGTGTGGGTAGGATTAATCAAATCAAACATGAAGTTGCCTTAAAAATTTCATGCAAGTTTTGCATTTGATTCTCTCAGTGGGAGCCTGGCAGAAAGGTTTGTACTCTTGCAGTACCCAATGCAGAACAGGAAGAACTCAGGGCTGGATGGTGTCTTACATCCTTTCTAAATCCAAAATTCCTTTACACAGAGTCAGAAAAAAAAAAAAAACCAGAATCAGCACAGGTAGACAACTTGGATCTAAGGGCTTCCCTGGTGGCTCAGATGGTAAAGAATCTGCCTGCAATGCAGGAGACCCTGGTTTGATCCCTGGGTAGGGAAGATCCCCTGGAGAAGGGAATGACTACCCACTTCAGTATTCTTGCCTAGAGGATTCCATGAACAGAGGAGCTAGGTGGGCTATCAGACATGGCTGACTAACGCACACACACTCAAGGGCATATAAATTCAATTTATTTTTTCAAAACTCCAACTCCAATAAAACACTTTTGAGGATCAAATTCACTTACCAGCTGTCAGTTTTCAAATTACAGGGGACTAGGAATTGCATTTTCAGAACAGTCCCCAGGGGACTCTTATGATCAGGCAATTGTAAACCCTGATATAAGGTATGCATAAATTCTACATAGATTAAAACCTGCTACCAGTAGAGCCATTATCATGGTTAAGGACAATAATCCCTGAAGTCTTTGCCACACAGAACAGTTCAAATGAGAAGATGCATATTGTTTTGTGAATTTAGGAACTAAAGTTATCAGATCAGGATGTGTGGAGGGGCTTACAAATCTCTCTCCTCTTGCTCTTCATTGCAGTTGTATACCAAGTGTGCAGAGGTCCTATAAGCACTGTAGCCCTGGAGGGAGGCACAGCTGAGTTGGAAAAAGATCCTGTTAACTTTTTGCCTCTTCCAGTAGCTCGGACTGCAGGCTGTGAGCTGTTCTGGAGCAGAACACCAAAGGTCTCCCTCTTCCTTCACTTAGTCTAGGACCTCCTTTTTCAAAAGAGAGATCTGAAAGGATACATGCACCCCATGTATCACTGCAGCACTATTTACAGTAGCGAAGACCTGGAAGCAACCTACATGTCCATCAACAGAGGATTGGACAAAGAACATGCGGTATACTACATCCATGGGATTCTCCAGGCAAGAATACTAGAATGGGTTGCCATTTCCTTTTCCAGGGGATCTTCTGGACCAGGGATTGAACCTGGGTCTCCAGCATTGGCAGGGAGATTCTTTATCACTCAGCCACCAGGGAAGGCTCACAAAGGAATTAAAAGAACATTAAAAAGCCATCAAAAAGAACAAAATAAAGTCATTTGCAGCAACATGGATGGACCTAGACATTGTCAGCAAGGAGATCAAACCAGTCAATCCTCAAATCAACCCTAAATACTCATTGGAAGGACTGATGATGTTGAAGCTGAAGTTCTAAGCATTTTGGGCATCTGATGCAAACAGTCAACTCACTGGAAAATTCCCCAATGCTGGGAAAGATCAAGAGCAGGAGAAGAGGGTGTCAGAGGAAAGGATGGCTCGATGGCATCACAGATGCAATGGACATGAACTTGGGCAAACTTCGGGAGATGGTGAGGGACAAAGAGGCCTGGCGTGCTGCATTCTATGGGGTCGCAAAGGGTCAGACAAGACTGGGCAACTGAACAACAACACACGTTGTCATACTGAGTGAAATAAGTCAGAGAGAGAAGGAGAAATAGCATATGATTCCCCTTATATGTGGAATCTACAAAGAAATGATACGAATGAATTTACCTCCAAAATAGAAACAGACTCTCAAAGAATGAATTTATGGTTGCCTATACACACTGCTATATTTAAAATGGATAACCAACAAGGACCTACTGTATAGCACGGGGAACTCTCCTCAATATTATGTGGCAGCCTGGATGGGAGGGGAGTTTGGGGGAGAATGGATACATGTATATGCATGGTTGAGTCCCTTTGCTGTTCACCTGAAACTCTCACATTGTTAATCAGCTATACCCCAATACAGAATTAAAAGTTCAAAAAAAAATAAAATAAAATTTAAAAGAGATCTAAAAAAGAAAGGGATGAAGATTCCAGGCAGATCTTGAGTGGCTGTTCTATTGCACCCCTGGGTCTCTCCTGAAAGGGAAGGTGACAGTCTCTCTTTGCAACCCCATGGACTATACAGTCCACGGAATTCTCCAGGCCAGAATACTGGAGTGGGTAGCCTTTCCCTTCTCCAGGGGATCTTCCCAAACCAGGGATCAAACCCAGGTCTTCCGCATTTCTGGTGGATTCTTTACCAGCTGAGCCCCAGGGAAGCCCCAGGTCTCTCCTGGCCCAGCTCAGATGCCAAGAGCCTCCTGCGTGGTGTTCTTTTACAAGGATGCTGCTTTCCATGACCCCATTTCTTGAGTCAAAAGATACTCTTTTGCAACCCTACTGTGGCAAATTAACACAACAGATTATGCTAAATCACTCAATCAAGAGGTTTGTGAAAGCAGATTGAGGTTTTATGCATATCTATGGTCCCATCCCTAGTTACTGGGTCACATTTGAAGGGTTGAGATGAAATTCATTATAAGCTAAATGTGAAAAAATGGCAGGGTTTCGACCATACTGACATTTCAATAGCTTTATTTATTCATTTAACAAATCTTTGGATGCTTACTATCTGTGTGCAGGGCATATTCTAAGAGACATATATAGGGCAGTGGATCTCAAACTTTAGTGAATTTCAACGTCACTTGGAGGGCTTGGTAAAACACAAAGTTCTGAATCATACTGAGAGCTTCCTAATCAGGTAAAGCTCAAGCTGTTAGTCTGGCGACCACACTTCGGGCACCACTGCAGCGGAGCACTGCCAGAGCCAAGTACCTAATTTCACAGGACGCACAGTGTAGGGTGGTTATGCCAAAGAGACCTAAGGTGGAGACTTCAGTCGTCTGTGCGAGGCAGGCAGGGAGAAGCGCAGGGAGCACAGAAGCCCCTTAAGCTGCTATCTGTGCCTGCCACCCCCAGATTCAGCCACAAACTGTGAAGTCAGACGTGCCGCGCCCCTCCCCTCCTCCGGGCAGCCTGGAACGGAGCGGGCGGGAGGAGGCAGCCCCGGCACGTCCTCGCCGGCTGGGGCCGCTCGAGCCGCGGGCGCGCACTGTGAGGATCGGGGGTCGGGAGATCGGGGGATCGGTCCGGGACAGGCCCCTGCGGGAGGACAGCGGAGGAGAGTGCCTTCCCCCTGCGCGGCCCCGCCTGCGCGGGCGCACGCGGTGGCGGCTGCGGCGCGGGGCGGGGCGCCGCGACCCCCGTCCTTCCCGGGGCCGAGCGCTCGCGCCGCCCCCGCCCCTCGTCGCATTAGCCGCCGCCCGGCTGGCTCGGCCTCGCGGCGCGGGTATTGGGCCGCGCCGCAGTCCCGGCCGGCCCGCGAGCCATGGCCCAGCCCGGCGAGGAGACTCTGCCGGGGCCCGAGACCGCGGTGCAGATCCGCGTCGCCATCCAAGAGGCCGAGGACGTGGAGGAGCCGGAGGACGAGGAGGAGGGGGCGGAGGCGCGGGGCGCCGGGGACCCGGCTCGGTACCTCAGTCCCGGCTGGGGCAGCGCCAGCGAGGAGGAGCCGAGCCGCGGGCACAGGTAGGCGCGGCCCGGGCCCGGGTGGTAGCCACCGACCCCGAGTCCTGGCCGAACCCGAGTTGGGGGGCCGCGACAACGCGGGCACGGCGGGTCTTCGGCTCCGCCGCCGGGCGCTGCCCCGGGCCGTCCCGCGGAGTCGGAAGCGGCTCTGGGCGGTCGTCGGTGCCCGGGTCCGCAGTCCGGCAATCCCACCAAGACTCCCGGGGCCGGCGGCGGGGATCTGAGGGGCCTGGACGTGGGGCATACTCTGGGACCCGGGGAAAGTCCTTCCTGGGCCAGACTCGCCATCTTCTCTCCAGAGCAGACTCTGCTTGCCTGCTGAGTTCAACCAAAGACCCTCCAAAAAAGCCTCACTCAGCCCAGCCTTCACTTCCGGAGCCGCCCCACCTCCCCAGGAGAGTGGTCCCACCTAGCCTTCACTGCCACCGTTACTCTGAATGCTTCTCAGTCCGAATGGGGCCGGGGGGGCGGGGGGCAGGCCAGGCAGAGTTGACACTTGCTGCTGGGAGATCCGAGGACGGTTGATTTCGTGGTGTAGAGAGCTCACGTGCCCCGATTTGGGATCACTTCAGGGCATGCTGCTTCATCCTCCTCTGCTGGGGGATTCCCGTTTTCATTCACCTTCTCCAGATTTCTAAGCGTGCATCATCATCTTGCTGCCTTGGAGTGGGGTTCCTGGGTAATGGGTAGTCAGTCTAGCGCAAGAAACCACCTGTCTAACGTCACCTCTGGGCCCTCATCTCTATTATTAGCCAGAGACCTTAGTCTTGTGTCCACTAACACCCAGGCTTCAGGACTGTGATATTTCTAACTGCTGTTGAAAGGAGATGCGGTATGGAGCATCCATAGAAATGAGGGTAGGGCAGTGATAGAACCTGTAAATTCTGGGAAATTCCATGAGGCACTTCTTAAGAGCCCTTTTTCCTCCGGGACTCAGTGCACACACATTGAGCTGTCAGAGCTCTGCAGAATTATTCCCTGGCAGGCACATTTTTACTTCATTGGGAGAATACTCAAGGGTTTGAGGATACAAACCCTAGTTCTGAGGGGCCAGAACTATTCCTTTTCACTACCTGATGTTTTCATAGTGGAAGAGATCTGGGTTTAAGGACCTAGAGTTTCAGGGCCATTCAGAGATATTCTAGGAGGAAAGTCCAGCCCAGCTGTTTAGTGCAGGAAAGCTGAGCCATAGGAGATGACACATGAGATTAGCACATAATATCAGTACTTTACTGTAAAGTCAGATTTATTCATTCACTCAGCTCTGTGATGAGTTTTTCTTTTTTCTTTTCCTATTTGTTGGCTGTGCATTGCAGCATGCAGGATCTTAGTTCCCTGAGCTGGGGTTGAACCTGGGCCACCTGCAAAGTGAGGAGTCCTAACCACTGGCCCACCACCGAAGTCCCCATGCTGAGTATTGGGAGTATAAAAATAATGAGTCACTGACATCTCACAGTCTTGAAAAGGCAGTCACCTAGTCAAAATAATTTCAGAGTTTGTGTCAAATAGCCCAGAGTGACGTATTCTGCTGCCTTTATTTGCCTCTGACTGTGGCAAAGAGCTGTTACCTATCCTGGGGACTACACGTTGAGACTGTACCATTAGCAGGGATCAAAGCCCTCCTTATTTCCCTAGGGAGCCCTAGGAGAACACTGGCCCTTCTTTTAGGGGGTAGGGGCTTCTTATCCTCACCCCCAACACTCTCCCTCCAGAGCTATCCTCTCTCCCAGCTCCAGGGGCTGGAGTGTCGTGGAGTATTCAGCCTGAACCCTCCTGCTGCCCGCTGGCATAGAGTTGACCCCAGATAATCCCTGGGGCTCTTCAGGGTGGTGGAGCTGACAGATCCCAGCAGGCAAACCCCCAGAGCACAAGGAGAGTGCAGCCAAGAATAGGAACCACGCTGTCCCCTGTTTGGGCCAGCCTGGCACAACAGCAGCCACCGCCCTTTATGAATACTTCTGGGCTCCCAGAGCCTTCAGGAGAAAGCCCAGGTTCCTAAACCCTCTGGTTGAGGTGGGCATCCACCCACATCATCCCTCAACCCATCACTTCCTTCCGTGCCTGTTTTAACAATTCCTGCTCCCCAGTGCCGAGCCCCTCCAGAGCCCTGAACACAGAGTGCTGTTTTGTGTCCCTGTATCTTTGCACTCCCACCTCTGATCCCTCTGATTAATTTCTAGTCACCTTAAAACTGCCTCATCCCCACCATCCTCAGTCCCTACCCCAAAGCCAAGTTTGTGTTCTCTTCTTTGTGTTTAGTACTCAGTACACACCACAGTGCTAATTTTGTCTCCCTCATAAAAATATGAGCTCCATGAATTCAGGGACCACATTGACCTTGTTATCACTGTATCCTTAGCTCCCCAGCACAGCCTCCGGCACCTAGTGGGTGCTCTAAATACCTGTTGAATGAATGGGTGTCTCTCTCATCACAGTCACTCCAGGAAGTTGAAATAGTTGTGTGTTTCTCCTCTTCTAGACAGTGAGGTCTTTGAAGGTAGCAACTTTGTCTTAATCTTCATATCCCCAGTACCTAGCCCAGTACCTGACTTATCCCTGAGGAACAGGGAAAAAATGGAATTAAGGAAAAATCTTTATAACCCCCAAATGTTCACTAGTCTTACCCCTCACCTTGCTTTCTAAAAAAGTGTCTTTTCTCTTATTCTCATCTTTTTAACATAAAAAAATCAGACATAAATGTGAAAGAGAAGTAGTGTGAGCATTTGTATACCTACCATCTAAATTAAACGGTTGTTAGTATTTTGCCATATTTGTTTGATGGATATATAATGTGTGTGATTTTTCCCTAAACTATTTGGAAGTATGTTATACGCAAGATTTATCCCCTCAGTACTTCATTTTGTAGTTTTAATAATGACATTTTCCTATAAAATCATGATACTGCTATTGCAACTAAGAAAATTAACCATTTTTGTTGTTATTCAGTCCCTCAGTCATGTCTGACTCTTTGAGACCCCATGGCCTGCAGCATACCAGGCTTCCCTGTCCTTCCTGTCCTTCACTATTTCCCGGAGTTTGCTCAGACACATGTCCATTGAGTTAGTGATGCCATCCAACCATCTCATCCTCTGCCACCCCCTTCTCCTCCTGCCCTTAATCTTTCCCAGCACCAGGGTCTTTTCCATTGAGTTGGCTCTTTGCATCAGGTGGCCAAAGTATTGGAACTTCAGCTTCATAACTACCTAATATAATCCCTAAAATAATCTGATAGCCAAGTTCCATATTCATGTTTTCCCTAATTGTCCCACATTACATTTGACAGCTGCTCTTTTCCTCTTCAAACCAGAACACAAGCCAGATCAAAACAGTCGCCTATTATCTCTCTTTAGAATCTTTTAATCTAGAGCATCCCCACTTTTTAAAATGGTTTCCTATTTTAGAAATAAGAGCCCAGATGTCTTGATGAATGTTTCACTGTTTGAACTGGTCTGGTTATGTTCTCATACTCTAGCTTAACTTGCTCCTTTGTACCATGTGTTTCGCATGAGCTCAAGTTAGTGCTAAAGGATTGGTTAGATTCAGTTAAACATTTTGGCAAGAACAATTTGGGGGCACTACCATGAACTTGTCTTATGACCACAGGCAGCATCCGGCATTTGTGATGCTAAACTTGACTTCTTGATTAAGGTGATCACTCCATTGTGATTAACAACATGTGGGCTTCTAATGGATTTTCTTTGACTTTTCACCTAATGGTGTTAGCATCCATTGATGATGCTTGCTTACTTGAGTCAGTTCATTGGAAGTTACTCATTGATGATTTTCTCATTTTATTATTCTTGGTACATTTATTAGCTGACATTCTTATGTAAAATAGACCTCTCCACGATCATCTGGGATTGAACAAGTGTTCCTCTTAAAGAGGCAAGCAGATGGGGTGGTGGGAGGGAGGTTCAGGAGGGAGGAGACATATACTTATGGCTGATTCATGTTGTTGTATGCAGAAACCAGCACAGCATTTTAATGCAATTAGCCTGCAATTAAAAAAAAAAAAAAACAAGCAAAAAAGAGGCAAGAAGAAATGAGCACTTCCTTTCCTTTTCCCCTCATTTGTTTTATTTAAAGTTTATTTAAGTTTATTTTTATTTTCTTCCAGTTTTATTGAGATATGATTGACTACAGCATTGTATAAGTGTAAGGTGTACAAAATAATGGTTTGACTTCCTTAGATCATGAAATGATTACCACAATAAGTTTAGTGAATATCCATCATCTCATATAGATACAAAATTAAAGAAATAGAAAATAATTTTTTCCTTGTGATGAGAACTCTCAGGCTTTACTTTCTTAACATGTTTCATATGTAGCATATAGCAGTGTTAATTATGTTTATCATGTTGTACATTAGATCTCTTGTACTTATTTATCTTATAACTGGAAGTTTGTTATCTTTTGACCACCTCCATCTAGTTCCCCCTTCTCTCACCTGTCCTCTGCCCCTGTAACCACAAGTCTAATTTCTTTTTCTGACTTTGTTAGATTGTTTTTGAAGTATAGTTAACCTCCAACACTATGTTATTTCCTGTTACATTATAGTGATTATAGTGATTCAATGCTTCTGAACATTTCAAAATGATCACCACTTAAGTCTAGTTATCATCTCTCACCAAACAAAGATATTACATAATTATTGACTATATTCCCCATGCTGGACATTTCATACCCATGACTCATTTATTTTGCAGCTGAAAGTTTGTACCTCTTCATCTCCCTCACCCATTTCTCTCCTCTGCCCCCTCCCCTGCAACCACCAGTGTGTTCTCTGAATCTGTTTTGTTCTGTTGTCTGTTCACTTGTTTTTTAGCTTCTACATGTAAGTGAAATCATGCAGTCTGTGTCATTCTGTGTCTGACTTATTTCATTTAGCATAATACCTTCTAGTTCCATTCATGTTGCAAACTAGAAGATTTTATTCTTCTTTTTTTTAATGATTGAACAATATTCCTATGTGTGTGTGTGTATTCCTCATCTTCTTTATC